GGGACAGGCAATAATCATGTACATTAATTATGTCACAGAATAACAAAATGTGTGATGTCTGTGGATGTGAGCTTCACATACAAGTGTAATGTTGTGATACCACACAGATAAACTCGCATACACCATCAGATGTCTCGGTCTCCACCTATACTTGTCAGGTGTTGCGACAGTGAGAACAGTGGTTGACCACTGGGATCAACACACAAAGACACTTAATAAAGAAACAAGATCGTGTACTTACAGGTAGGCTACCTCTCCCATTCATTCACGCTCATTCATGCAAGACCTCGTAGGTGGCCTGACAGCTGGTCTCCCTCGTTATGACGTGAGAACTATAGGATGGCAGGCTTTCCCAACATGACTGTACTTGACATGGTGGGGTACTCGCAGGAGAGCGTACTGTATGTTTATAACACACACAGATGCCCTTGATTGCACTGGCGCGTGAGTAAAGGTGTGACATGTGGTGATGTCACATAGTACAGTGAGGCAGGGCGAGTGGCGGCGGCTGGCTACGCGCTCTGGACTGAGGCAGTGGCGGCTATGGTTATTGCACCATGCAGGTACACTGGTAAAATCACACTCGGATTACTTGGGCGGCGGCACTTAGTTCACTCTAGACCAGTTACTCGCAGGGATCTCGTTCTCACTTTGTTACCTGATACCAGTCTGTTTCGCTCTGGTGATTTCAAAGACCTTTTGTCACTCGAAGGCTTCTAAACAATATAATCACGGTTGCAATTTTGATCAAGCACTGGTATATCAAAAAGATGCAGAGTTAACTTGACAATAAGGAATGGCTGGTGTGCTCTACTCTATTGCCCAATAGGTTAGAATGACAAGTCCACCACATACGAATTTCCTTAATAGAATAACGTAGCAAGGGGATGCATGCTTCCTCGGGGCACAGGCACCAGATCTACAAACTGACCAATGGTGTTGCAAAGCAGGTACCGGAACCAATGATATTGATCTTTACATGATGGGTAGAAGAGTGATGTCATTACCACGTCACTGTTCATCACAACGGTTGAGGCTGACCCCAGAGGTCATGCTCATCTCTCCCGTCTCTGACGTCCCCTCTTCTCTCGCTTGGCACCTTTTAACTTGTGTACTCCCAGACTCTCATTTGGTATGGGGTAATTGGTTAACTTCCCTTTATCTACTTTCTGCCTGGACATAGTGACCTCCGTATGATACAAATATTCCTGAATATGTGGACATACTAATGACACCCAACACGAGTTTTCCATCCAGAGGTAAAAGAGATGGGACCTTGTACATGGCTAGGTGCACTGTACACTGCAATGAGCCATTCAGGTAATCTGTGGGAGCATCTTGAGAGACCATACTCTCACACAGATGTAAGCCCCATGTACCTGTTTGAGTTTTAAATCTTATGCTGGACCTAAATCAACCCTAGTTGACATGTGCAATAACGATGAAATGACTTGGGTTGTTATACACAGTTGAAGGGTTAATGCTTAAGGAAATGTAGTTCTATATCCATTACTGTATTAGATACGGAATTATACTTGCTCTGGTAGAGGTATACATTAGAGCAATGTGTATTTTTAGCATATTGTATTTGGTCGTATGTTGTATGTGCATGCCAGCGAGTGATGGTTCACAAATACATGTACTAGCTTGACTTGTACTAAAATCATTTTTCTTTGGAAACCAAAGTCAACCAGCATAATTCATTGTTCCTGCTGCATCTGACTTTCTGAAGAAATTGGTTTCATTTGAACAAGAGTCCACTGTATATTTTTGCATAAATTAAAGAGAATCGGTTATGTTCAGTAAATTTGCCTGATTAATTATTTCAGTACTATTCAGAACATTCATAAATTAGCCGAGCTTTTTGGTATTGTCTAGGTGGAAAGTAGAGGCTACATTGTCATTACACACATTCGCCATCACTGTAGAATCTTCACAATGCTGTACATCTCACATTATTGTAGCATCTTCACTACTAATTTGGTAGTCTTGTGGTTCCTCTAGAATCAGAATTTTGGGGAGTTACATTGTTGTCCCATATAGTCACCAACAGAATAGGAAAGAGCTTGTATGGTTTACCACCCAAACATATATTTGCTGTCTGATGGTCACAGTTTTGAAAAAATCAGATTGGCTCATAATCCACTTAGAAGCCCTTTGGCCTTGGCTACAACTGCCCATGAGGTCGCATTATCATATTTTTAAATAGCATACAAATAAAAAAATTGCCTTTGGGTTTTCTGATGTGCTAACACACTTGTGCTTTGATTTGCCAGTGCCAGTACTGTATGTTGATTTGCTACCCATAAATAATGTCAATAAAGACATTATTTAGCGAGATTTTGAATAAAATTTTAGGCATTAGCCTAAATAAGAAGCTCCTACTTTTCAAAAAAATTGTACTTTCCTGCTTTGAGTATAGCTTGGTAGTTGCTTTCCCTTTCAAAGCAGGAGAGATTTCTGAAATAGAGGGAATGCAGAGAATATGTATGGCATGCTATGACACAAAGCACCTAAACTATTGGGACCTTCTCAAAGCTCTCAACGTGTATTCTAAAAAAAAAAAAAAAAAACTACAAAGGTATCACACATTTACAATGAAGATTCTGGAAGGCCAAGTCCCAAATTTGTATGGTAAAATAACAACATACTAAATGAAAGATAAGGTAGGAAATGCAGAAGACACACAGTAAAGAGTAGAGATGCCATAGGTACAATCAGAGAACACCGTGTGAACATCAGTATTATTAAAAAACATCAATATTAAAAAATATTGGCAGTTCAAAAGTGGAAGTTAGAGAAAATTAAGGATTCCTGGGAATCAGATTGTGGGGTAAAAGGGTCTAGGGTTTTCTGAGCCTTGGGGTGCAATTCTTGTGTCAGCCGAGTCTGTGAAAACTGAAAGAAGTCTCTTTCAGTCGCGCTTACAAACTGAAAGAAGTTCAACAAGGGCTGCCTAGCTACTCAGTGGTTCAAGAGAAAGCTGGCCAGACACTTTTTGAGGAGGATTTTGCATGGGTAGTTTTGGTATTTCATCTGGGCAGTCAAATCTGGTGAAGGGAGTGCCAGTGCAGATGAGTGGGTATCCTCAGGATAGCCCACCACATGAAAGGTATTCAAAATAACCAAAGTGGCATTAAACAAAAGTGAGATGATTGAGCGACAAGCATGGGATGTGGTCTCAATGTGTAGAGAGAGAATGCATACGTGTATAGGATAAATAAATTTTGATATTCGATAAAGGAATTATTGATGGGCAGGCAACTAACATTCTTACAATGGTGAAAGAGGGAAAATAGAATCCTGACAAACATTTTTGATAAGCAAATATTAATACCTGTTGCAAGCAAATTAAGGGAAAAAACATTAATTAAATCAATTGTTTGTTCACAATTCTCTCCTGTTTACATATCTTACCAGTTTTAGGTCCTGTTTTATTTGGGTATAGAATATGAATACTGTGACTAATTTGTCATATCCAGCATTGTCTAGTTTCTTCTGTAATATAATGATATTCATTAAAAGAATTTATTTACTACATGAATATATATATGGTGTGCTGTGATTGCTAATTAGATTTAGAATGGAGATATCAATTTGGAATATTAACCCAGTAAATACGTTCATTGATACATATTTCATTGCTGCTTATACTATGTTTTCACACTGTTCGTTGATATGAAATCACCTATTAACACTTTCGCGCTCTCCGCAAAGGTCACTCAGCCAACCGAATGTGCGCGCTGCGTTTTTATCGCTTAAGCGTAAAAACAAAAATGTGTATACTCTTTTTACTCTCCTGACCTTAGTTCTCATGCTACGTATTTCATTTTGGCACCAACGTGTTTGCAATAAAATTCTCTAGAAGAACATTAGTAAAATAAGTCACGAAACATATAGGGATACCAGCACCAAATAAATAACTACGTAGATGACTCGCCGTGAGCGCCCATCAGCAACAAAATGTTTTTACTCTTGGGATTATAATCACCTCCACACTTGTTCTACAGCGTTAATTTTGGTATCAATGGACTCGCAATGAAATTCCCAACACGGTGATATGAATATAAGCGTTGAATATTGATGCAGCCCGCCCGCAAGAGTGTGGGAAGTGGTGAAATTGTTACCCGGTATCGGTGACGGGACGACGCACAGCGCTTTGAAAGTTTATACTTATTTCACTCTCATGACATTAATTTTCTATGTACGTCATTCATTTTCATGTCAATGTATTCGCAATAGAATGTTCTATGTGCCCATAGGTAAAAAATATCAACAAAGCGTAAGTTAGAATAGCGACAAATATAAAACAACGCTGGAACATATCAGTGAGCGTCAAACACACACGAAATATTTTTACTTTTGTTATGTTTGTCAAGATTATACTTGTTGCACACAGTTATTTTTGGTTGTATATTGATCGGAATAAAATTCCCTAAACAGACATATGCATATAATACATGATATGGGGGAAGAATTACCAGTATAAACGGCTAAAGTCACCCACCTGCAACCCGTTTGGGACAAAATACCATTTGATCGACGTTATCCACACCTTTCATGAACTTATTGTACCATGCAGCCTAGTGGTGAGAAAGAGAGCCTCATAGCGCGCAGTTTGAAACAAACCCAAAGTAAATCGGATAAAAATTGAATTTTATACAAATATTTTAAAAGTTGACATAACTTTATGTCCACTATGCGTTTACGTTAGACGAAACCGAACGCGCCGGCGCGTCCAGATAGCGCGAAAGTGTTAATTCTTATTTTATTGAATATTAGAACTGTATTGTAGGTAAATATGAAAATGTTATATGCAGTTCATTTCCATGCATGAAGAAAACTATCACTATTATTTTAATATCACGCTTATTATTTCTAGAGTTTCATGGCCATTATATTTGTGCCTTACACTTTACCTTTCTTAAAGTTGAGGCAAGTATCTGCACTAGTGTACTGTATATCCTTTTGTAATGAACAGGCTTTCCCTTCTTTGGCAGTTTGGTGCTCTGACCCCTCTAGAGCCCAGATTAGGCAAGAAGCTGATAGAACCTCTCACAAATCTGATCCACAGGTAAACGTTTTTCACAATGTTGATATGAGTTTTAGCATTGACTTTGCTTGCATTTAAAACGAGATTTTTGCTTTTATTAATTACTGCAGCTTGTGCTATGCTTAGTTTGTTGGATGATTGAAAAAAATCTGTGTAAAGGCAAATAGGAAACTAATTTCACTTTTTTTGGTGTTAAAACTAAAAAGTTAATGCATGCTATTTTTATCAATGTTGATTTCCTATATAATCTAATCCAAATACCATCAGTTTCATGAAATATAATGAATTTGGCATTTAGTGTCAGTCCTTGGGTATATTATGGAAATATTTCTTTATTGGTGAGGCTTATGACTTTTAACAGTAGCACAATACTGTATATGTTGATAATAAGTAAGTACAATGTTAATCTACTGACTGGTTTTTGCACAATTTAAAACTTAATTTTTTTTTCATAAATTCATTATTGCTATCACATATTTTTCTTGAGAATGCACTCTTTATTGCATTTACTGTACTTATAATATTTACACTTTTAAATTGTTGATTTTGTAAATTTGAGCATGGATGTGAATATTTGATTTTTTAACTACTAATAACTTGAAATGGGCCTGCCATCCTAAGTTGTTTGATAACACCCTAAGAGGTTGTATGTACTTTGCGACTTTTGAAATGCTTTCTGGTACACAATGTTCCCAACCAGTTTTTGAGGCTGTCGGTAAACATCTGCCGCCTTAAAAAGTTATATGAATTTGGGGATATTTTTCCTGTGCTCATGGCCGGTCGGCCATGGAGCCGGTCGGCCGAGCGGACAGCACGCTGGACTTGTGGTCCTGGGTTCGATCCCAGGCGCCGGCGAGAAACAATGGGCAGAGTTTCTTTCACCCTATGCCCCTGTTACCTAGCAGTAAAATAGGTACCTGGGTGTTAGTCTGCTGTCACGGGCTGCTTCCTGGGGGTGGAGGCCTGGTCAAGGACCGGGCCGCGGGGACACTAAAGCCCCGAAATCATCTCAAGATAACCTCAAGATGGCATGGCTTTTAACAATGTAGGAAGACAAAATGTTGTTTTGAATATTATTTTTGCTTTGGTTATGCAGATATTACCTGATGTAATATGCTTTTGATAAATTAGATAAAATTTTTGATTGCCTCAAAATAAGGAATAAGTGGCTTGGTGACCTATATGAAAATGTATAAGTTACAAAGACATTCGATTAAATGGCTTCGAAACTTAAAAAACAATCTAAGACGGGATGGAGGCATTTATTATGCAAAATTTGTTCACCAAATTCAGGTGTGACAGGAATTAGCAAAATTTTTATGGAAGAATTCTTAAATTCAAAGCATTGAGAACACAATATCATATATTAAAATAAAGAAAATGTTCACAGATTCTCGTGTGTAAATAGAATAAGTTGAATGAAGGGATAGTGTATTCCAAACCAGTTTCAAAACTTTAAATGGCACTGATTATAGGGCGAATGGCATTGATTATAGGGAAAATGACACGCCACAAGCTTAGCTCTCATCCTGTAACTACATGCGAGTATTTCCACACAAGCCACATTGTGTTATTACTGTTCGATGCTTGCAAATGATGCACAAGACAGTGTGAAATGATGGAAGTTGAAGTGCATGGTGCAAATACTAGTATGAGGATTTTAGAATCTTACCAGGCAGCCCTCACTGTCTCTGGTCTAAATTACTTTCATCATTATCTGATGAGCTATACTGTATTAACGTTCAATCTGTGAAATTTTGTACATTCTTTTTTAATACTAAAATTTTCCAGCTTTTCTAATGTCTTTGCAATGCTGTATGTTGTCAATAGCCATTAGAGTACTTGCAAGCAATGCAAACCTAAGCTGTAAAGATTTGCATCAGAAATAATGCATGTCTGCTTAATTATACCAGAGAATCAACTAGGTCATGCAGGAATTTTGTCAAATATTGCGGAGGATTGCTCCGGCCACCTAGGGAAATGTAACCGTAGATGTGACATTACAAAATACATGTAGCGGTCTCGAGCGTTGTGTGCCTTGTGGAGCATCCCCAAACATGTCACATAATATGTGGAGCATGGTAAAGATTGAACTACCTTATTCTTTATTTACCAACAAACATATTTACTTGGCTTGCACTCTATTACCTGTATGTAATTTATAAAAAATATATAGATTAATAAAGTGCAACTGTGTGTATATGTGGTGTAAAAAAAAAATATAAAGTATTCTTATAACGTGATTAATTTGCATGCAAAACTAAGGAAAATGCAAAAAAACACATCGAAGTTATTTTGCATTTCATGCACACCAAAAGATTGTGCTGGGTAGGGGAGTCATTTGGTCTATGGACTGTCATGATATAAATTTCTCGATCAAACTCAAGGAACGAGTTGTGATATTAGAAGGATTGTGCATTTGCCTTTTCACTTAAGTTTCACTTTTCACTTAAGACTTGTTCATTTATATATAATTAACACAAATTCTGAGTACTGCACATAGGCCTACAATGTAATATATTGTATTACATTACAATATAATGTAATAGAACCTGTATTGCATGTTAATATATTTCAGGCATAGTTCAAAGGAAGTGCCATGCAACCCCACTCCTTTGGTGCTTTTCTGTCTGGTAATGTCAACCAGAAATACATTCAAGCACTGGTGGGAAACACGAAATTGTGATTCGATGATAATCACCATGCTTGTAGTTTAAGATAACCTCATTTATAGTAGGCAATTAAAAATAATAGATTTTCATGATGCATTATATAATCTCATTTACATAATTTTTATAAAAAAACGTAATGATGGCTAAAATTAACATTTCATAACTAAAATACCCAGGGGATCAATGTATAAAGATAGTATAGTGATAAACACACATTATGGATTAAAATATATCTGCATTATACTTGGTTTGGTGTAGTGCATCAGTGTCTAATTCCCTAATATTTTTGTTGTTGGGGATTGGAATCCTGTGTGTGTGTGTGTGTGTGTGTGCGCATGTACTCGCCTAATTGTGCTTGCGGGGGTTGAGCTCTGGCTCTTTGGTCCCGCCTCTCAACCGTCAATCAACAGGAAGTTGATTGTGTGTGTGTATTAATTATACGCTGTAAGATTGTTGAGGTCCCTTCCAAGTTCAAACCACCCACAACAGTTACCTAACTCCCAGGTGTATGTATATTGCTAGGTGAACAGAGGCATTAAGTGAAAGAAAATTTGCCCAACTATTTCTGTTTTGTCACTTAGGAATCGTACCCGCTATCCCTGATTATGAGTTAAGAATGAAGCCAATTGTACTGCTACTGACTACACTTTCTATTCATTCTATTCATTTCTCACTTCAGGGTACCCACTAAAGATTTGGAAGTCCAACCATACTAATTGTATCAATTACATGAAACGCCGATTTTTAATTTTCTAGTGTCCTTACAGTCGTATAACTTAGTGTCTTTGAAATAGGTAAGGGAGACTGGCTAGGTTAGCCATAGTGGCTTTGTACCACCCACATGTTTGCTATACATGGTGACCTATGTTTACCATATTTAGGCATATAAATGATACTTAGGATTGAACTGCAACATTAGCAAATTTGCTGATATTTTCAAGATAAGTAATGGAAATACATTTCTCTTTCTTGTGGCCTGTTGAAAGGAATTTCCTGTATGGACAAGTTCTGTAGTGTTGACTTTTTTATTAGTGGAAGAATGGTGGTTCACCTTTTTAATGATCTCTTCTACAAAAATTAGAATACTGTATCTGTTCTAAGTTCCTTATCAATGTGCTTTCTTCTGGAACTTTGTGAAAGAGCATACTAAGGGAACTTGTATAGGAATGTGCTAGTGAAAGCCTTTACCTAATCTAGGTGAAGATAGAAGTGAAAATCAACTATAGTGTCTTTTAAGTGTGCTCAATGGATTTCTCATGATCTAAACTTCTAATGTTATACCAACATGCAAAAATCTTTAAAAACATGTCCCATATTAAGAGTACTGTACCATTCTTCCTATATTTCCTATTCCTATAGGCAATGTTTTCCTTCAAACTGTCATATAAAGGATGTTTTCTATGAAAGCTTGGTTTAGCCCATAAACATTACTTTTCAAAGATAGTGCCATGGCCCACTTAACACAGTTAATCAAAATTGATTTAAATTCTAAATTAATCATGTAATTTATTACAAATTAGCACATTGATTTTCTTACACCCCAACACTATGACCTCTCAGGATTCGAACCCAGGCCACTGCAAGTCTCCCCATGAATGGTGCTGGTACTCTGACCACTGTACCAGCGATCATCTAGTGTAGTAGTCAGAGTACCAGTGCTGTTGATGGGAAGACCTGCTGTGGCCTGGGTTCGAATCCTGAGTGAGGGGTCATAGTTTGAGATATAGATATATATATATATATAAAATATAAATTATTATTAATTATTAATATTATAAATTATAATATTATAATATACAGTAATTATAATTACAGTACAATTAATATTATACTGTATACCAACTAATTTTTTTTTTTTTTTTCAGTACTTCAGCTATGTCCCTTCTTTATGAGTGCATCAACACGGTCATTGCTGGTATGTTTTGGTGTAAAATTTCTAATGTAGCTTTTTGCTTGGTTGTATTAGTTAATGTAGTTTTCATGGGATGTGCCATGTTTCTGTTTAGTGAATTTGAAGAAAAGTGTTCTTAAGTGTCGGTTAATCCAGTATATGTTAAGGGAAAGGAGTTTGTTGTAAATCTGTTTTTTATAGTTTGTAAATATATTTATAAAATCACTTTAAATATTATCTGCAAGATGTATAAATTGCTTATCAGTTCATACAGTATTCAAAATAAACAGAATACAGTACTTGTTTTTGTGTACTGATGTGTTCTCTTTCTCTCCCCATGTGCTCTCACAGTGCTCATTTCTATTTCTTCCGGGATGCCAAACCACAACGCCTCCATACAGGTACAATCACATTATGTTTTTGTACAGTTTATGCAAAAGTAAATTGAGGCATAGTGCTTTAGAGGAAAATGTTAACTTTTTCTTTTTAAAAAATATGCTAATTGAAAGATCTCTATGCACATAAAAACATATTGTTGATCATGAGGCTAATATTGATATTTACTTTTGAATGAAGCATTTTGTCGCATGTGTGGCTGAATTTTTAAAAATGTAAAATCATATGGTCTTTTACTAAATCTGTGACAAATTAATACTTTGCATACTCCTGAAGATTCGATTTCTGCAATTATAATATGTTGTCTGTTAGGTATATTTAGAATTTTATTACATAACTGATTTATTTTCTTTATTAACCCTCAAACTTCACATTAGATTTGTTAGATTTTAAATACGCATGAAATGATAAAGGAAAAGGCTCTGTTCCATAGTTTAAATGCTGTGGAGTTCATATGTTGCCAATTTTGTTGCCCGGCAGGTGGGGGTCTGTATTGAGGCAAAAAAGTGATGTTAGTATGTCACTCGGCAGTGTGTGTGTGCTGTAAGACCTCGGTAATTTGAATTCTTATAACCTGAATTGGAGTAATCCAAATTAAGTCACATTTGAGTTTTTGAACTTTTAACCCAAATTGAAATTTGGGGTGAAAGGTTACACAGTACTGAATAGCTTCTGCAGACTAAATTCAAATTTGTAAATTTTTTGGACATTCTAATAAAAAAGTTGGCTAACTTGAACAGGGGTGTGGCCCCATATGATTTGGATTACTGAGGATAGACTGTGTGTGTGTGTGTGTTTTTCCTCCACATCTTGTTTGTTTTTTGCACTTGCTCTGGTCAATTAATGTTTTGGGGAGTTGGTAGTGGAAACAGTTGCTTATTTTATATAAAATATTCATTCAACATGCTTTCTGGACACTTTCTGCACCAAGACTGACAAAAACCAATTGTCCAAAAAAAGTAGGCTGTCGTCCTAAAAAAAATTTTGTTTGCAAACCTAGAAATTAGTTTTAGCTATTGTCACTTTTCCATTCTACCCTACTACTGCTATTAATATAGCATCCAGCTTTGAAAAACATTAAAATCTCATTGAGCCATATTGAGGGTAATACTGTTCAATGATACCATTCTACCCTTTCGTTCTTCTCCTTATGCCTTCCCTAATTCACATTACCATTTGTTTTTATAAGTAATTTTCTTTACAGTTGTGTGTGCAGAAACTGAGAATTCTGATAGAAGACTCCGATCAGAACTGTAAGCATTTTCCGTTTGTTTTTCATGATAATTTTTCTTATTATTTATATATTTTATTTTGTTACTGCTTTTTCCACAGATCATACCATTAATTTATTTTCTGCACAACTATTTGCATAGAATATTAAAAGCAGTAGTTTTTATAGAAGTATCTTGGGTATGCACATTGCTTTTTATTTTGTGAACACCCTTCCCACTCATGGCCACCTTGCCTTGACCAGAAATACAAGTGTTGCATAACTACTTTTAAGGGAGCATATTCTAAATTTGGCAGATGGTTTTATTTTAAATTCTTTGAACAAATGTGCTGAATTTAAATTTATGCATCTTTCCATTCAATTCCATCCACAAATGGCACTAAACTACATTGCCATGTGAATTTGTGTAGAAAATCAATCATCTGCTAAACAATTTTAATATGATCTTTCTACAGATTATATTTACTGAGAGTAATAAATACATGCAATTTATGTATTATTTTCTGGGCTGACCCTCAGTAGTTTCCTGATGCATTGGTTTTGGTACCCCACATACCTGCAAAATACCTAGTGTCTGGTCTTGCACAAGCCTACCAAATGCCAACATCAGAATCTTGTGTGCTCATAGAGGTAAGAGTAGCCTGGAGATCGGAGAACCTCAAAACCAGGTAAAATTGCCCAGAAAGTACAGGCAAAGCCAAACAGACTACATATCTTGATTAAAGATAAAAAAATGGAAATAATGAAAGCAATAGGTTTGTCAAATGTCAACAAACCATGTGCAAAAATCAAAGTGTACCACCAAATGGCAACAGGAAGCACCCAAGGGTTCATCCTGTTTGTGTGCCTTACTGTTTTTGAGTAAGTGGGATTAGCATTCCTTGAACTGGGTTGTTCCTTGGGGCATCATGCTCAACATTTCCATTTACAATATACGAGTGTGTTTATACTCTCCATCTTGCGTGATCTTAGCCAATTAGTTTGTCGTGACTTTATTTCAGGGGTTGCCTTTTCTAACATCATTTGATTGTTGTTTCCTCACCAGTTATATCTTTAAGGGGTTTGAGTGTTCTTCCTGAGGCTTCCTGGAGTGATTTGCTCACGTTCTTTCTCAGGATCAAGGACCACTTTGTAAATTGACCCAAATTCATTGGAGATTGGCTCTACAGCTGTTTCCTGGGCATGTTATGACATCCTAGGTTCATCCTGGCTGGCGGACAATCCATTATTTTTCTTGGAGAAATGGGCTTATTTCTGGATTAGTCAGAGGTTGCCTAAATCTTTAATGTATTTTTAGGAGTACCTTTTCTAATATGCTTATGTAGTTTTATTTGCTCCTGCCCTTTCATGTGATACAGTATTGGTTTAGAATGCTTCGTGTATTGCATTTCTTAAACTATCGGTAGTGTTAATCACTGTAGTAAACAAGGCTCAAACCCTTTCAAGAGTGGTTTTCTGGGTCTTACTTGAAATGTTTTCGATACAATTACTCAAGGAGATGGGTTCACCTGCTGCAATTGGGATCCTCTTCATTCTTGTCTACTGTGGTATCTGGTGCAGATACCATGTCAAGGCTTTTTACTCCATTATTTCATGATGAGGTGATAGGTTATTATGCTTCATGTTAAGTTTAATGGTATGCAGTCATATTTTTAGGAGCTGGTTTGAATTTTCTTTTTTACTATTTCCTTCCCTATTTTTTATGCTACTATTTTCTTCATGAGTTGTAGATTAAGCACTAGTTTTGGTAGGAGTGTCCTCCCAACCCATCTTTTAACTACAGTATTTTGGCTGTGTTCTGCCTCTATGGTTACCTGTGAAATAGCTGTTGGCTGTTTTTGGCAGCATTTTCTGCATTTCCTGGTTGAGGTCTGGGTTCTGGTACACACTACCATTTGATTAGGTTTTGAGGCTGGAAGGGCTTCACCCATAAACCCTCTCGTGGCAAGTTCCAGTGACTGTGATGAGATGCATCTGTGGGGAGCATTTCAGCAGCGATGTGACTGGGGTGGAGGGATGTTTTTGACATTTCACCTCATGTTTTGGAGCCTGCATTGATCTTACTCTCGACCTTCGTTATCAGTGCCCCCAGATTCCTTCCCAGCCATCTATGCCGATGCTATGGACTGTTATGTGGGATTTATTTGTCAATGTAGTTGCTTTGTGAGCTTTTGCATTTTGTATCTCATTTTATGGCCATTTTTCAAGTTGTCCATCAGGTTTTCATTCAGCCAGTCTGATGTTTATCTGCATGTGCATGGTGTGCATAAGGATGCTGCCATTACTGCTTTCATTGCTAATATATCTATGGATAGTAATTGGGTTTCTTGCAGTTTAACAGTGTGTACTGCTAGTTAACTTTTGAAGGTTTCCTATCCTCATTGAGCATATGTGACGCTTGGATTCCTTTCCAGTTGCCTAGTTCATTTTTTTTCTCAAGAGTCCTAGGTTTCTGGCCTTCATATCCTATTGGTCATCTTTCGATCACTGTTAGTCCTTTATTAATGTTTCTTTTAGCTCAACAATGATTCCTTTAAGGTGTTATTTGGAATATACACTATAGAGCTACAGAGAGCCTACAAAGAAATCAAGAATTGAATATTGTGAAACCTTATTCTGGGCAGCCTCAGCTTACCAAGCCCACCTATTTGGTTTTGCTCTTCCTTTCCATAGGGACGGTGTGCATTTTAGGGGGGTGGCACAAGATGGGATGGGTGACCTGAGCTTCTGTTTGGAATTTCACTTGGATACGAGTGCATGGTTTGTTGACATTTGGAAAACTACCACTTCCCTTGTTTCCAATTTTCTTAAAAAATTTGTTGTAGTTTTTGCTATGTACTTTCCAGGTGATTTGACCCAGTTTTGAGGTTGTTCTTGAATCCCTAAACTTCTCTTTGTCTTTAGCATACCAGATTCTGGTCTTGGTGTTTGGTAGGTGTGCTGAAGTCCTGAGGCCTGTTAGTTTCATGGATGTATCTGTTGTGCCAGAACCCATACACCAGGAGTCTACTGAGGCCTTCCAGAAAAGGGCATTTCATTATATTCAACACTTTATTTTTGTAAGAGAATAGGTTCTAGTATGAAAAGTATTCTCTGCATTATATCTAACATTTAATTAAATAAGAATATTAAGAAAATAATTACAGTAATTTGTTTACCTGTGTGCATGAGTGGGAGATGACATTAATGAGGTTTAAGAGTGAGGTTCAGATCAAGTATTTAGTTGGGTGTGAAACGCATTTGAATGATTTATCTAATTGAAGGTACTGTAGTTTATTTGAATTTTTTTCTAATTTTTATATTTAAAAATGTCTAAGTTATGATTTGTTAGTCTTACTTCATGGGTAACTATGTTTGTAATTTGAGATCTAGGAGTTAATTTTGGAAGTTATTTTTAAAGTAATCATCCTGGGAATCAAAACAATAATGCCAGTATTCCTTCAACTTCTGGCATCTCATAAAGTCCTCATTGTAGACTGTAAGATTACATGCATTGCAATGGAAGCTGAAAATTTGTCTTAAAGTTACTTACAATTTAGAAACAAGAAAAAAATCACAGATCATGTGTGATGAATATTTGAAGTGTTGAAGTCTTTGTGATGTGATGTACCAATAGCATGTATTATATAGGTCTTGTGACATGGTGAATTGTCATACTGTGGAAGCCAGGAACTTCAGCAGTTAAAGACAAATTGCTATTGGAATGGTTTTTATCATTGTATCACTGTCTGTTGTACCAAATGATAAATGGAGATAACATTCTGGATGTTGCAGCTTGAATATCCACAACTTTTTGTAAAATGTTTAAAATCACAAGGATTCTGTGTACCTTTTGAGAGATCTGGTAGCAAGTGACTTAACACATAAACAAAGTTTTTCTCAAAACATGGAATTAAGACCATTCAGCCTGTCCAAACAAATAATTACACTTCCTTTACTCCCAGAGTTCATTATTAGAAGGAATCACTAGTTGCAGGAACTGTCAGAAGTCTTTGGTCTCCCAGGATGATTACGTTGAAGGTGCCTTCATTAGGTAACTAATGAATACCAAACTACAAGCATGTTAAGAAAGTAACTAAATTTTTGGATCGTGTCTCTTAATGTCTATTAGGAATTTTTCCTTAAAGATCATATGCAACCATTTTTGAAGTTTGGAGAACTTAAACATGTTATGATCTGTCATATCTGAAAAAAGAACAAAATTTATTGCATGTTGAATAGTAAAAATTGAATTTTTGCTATTGTTTATTTGTCAATAAATCATTATAATGCCTCAGTAAATACACAATTAAGTTTTCACAGGGTTATGTTTGTAGGCATCTGTGCTGTATCTGGAAAATGCTTTTTGTATATTGTATCTGAAACATTCAACACACAAATATGTGCTAATGTAGTCCTTGGGCCAGATATTGGGATCATTGTATCATTATTGAGAAGGGAAGGGGAAGACCATGAGTGATATCTGAAAAAATAAGTGCTCTCAATGTTTCCATTGCTTTTGATCCCTAGGAAGTTTTGTATAAATGCAAGAATAGATATAAAATGCCATATCTGAGAAGGGCCATTCAGTTGTTTTTCAACAAAGTCCTCGGAGTAAAACAACTTGAAAGTCCATGTGAAAGCAGGGAACTTATTCAAGCAGTCACCATGAAGCATGAAGTCGACTGGGAATGAGGTGAACTTGAGTTGATGATATAGATCCCTCATTCAATAAGAGACAGGTGGCACAGTCACTTAAAGTTAATAATTGGCATTGTAGATCCAGTTCTGCCTCTATATGCCCCATGCTAGATCTTGTAACAGAAGAATAGGCTGCTGTATATCATTGTTTTATGATGCAACCCTCATTTAAAAAAAAAAACTTCAGACGGTTGTGGTACAATACATTGCAAAGTGAACTAGATACAAGATAAAAGATTGGTGTAAAAAATGGCTATTGGAGTTAAATCCATTAAATTACAAAGTTGAGGATAAAAACAATATTGAGAAGACTGAGAAGCACTACAGAATGAAGGGCAGCTT